TAATGTGTCGAGTCAATCCCTACAAAAATCCAAAACAAAACATCGATAAACACAAACCAACACCAAACAATACCTGAAGACGTCTGCACAAAACGCAAATATAATACTTAATTTCACGACTCGGATCAGTTCTGAGTGTCCATTCGGATATCTTGCCCGGATGCAGTTCACTCTCGAAAAGGATCACTGAATTGCGCCGTAGCGTCGACAACTCTTCACACGTAACTGGTCCATAATCTTCACCACGCCACTCTTTCAAATCAGCATATCTCGACAATATTGGAATTTTTGCTTTTGCTTTAATCGTTCCACAGCCATTCATCGAAAGCTGAAGTGACGATTGAATACAATTTGTCAAAAAATACGTCGACCTCAACGTAACATAAATGATTCTCTCTGCTAGGTATGCCACTTCACAAGTCATATTCAAATAATGCCAATAAATGTGTTTGTTCATGGATTCGCATACCAAAACGTAAATAGGCTCCTTAACAAGATCCGAAAGAACGATCAACACCACATCAAAAGCGCAGTTCGAAGCCCTAACTGCCCCATTATCAAAGGCACTTCTCACTCCAAAACCGTCCCATGGTTTTACTGCCCGGTGACGGCATGAGTATGCACCACTTCCCCGATGTATCTACACAAAAGAAATTTTCCAAACCAAGCGAAATATCATTAAAGAAATTGTTGGATAATTATGGTATTCATCTGAATTCTGCAATTCAATTCCTTTGATATTCTTCCATATTGAAGGTATTGAATAGCATTTCGAAAAATCAAAACAAACTGCTGTCAAAATATTCCACAGGTATACTAATTACCATTTGAAAGAAGTTATCATCATTTGAATCTGCACGAGGTGGATTATTAAGTAAGTAATCAACTCAATGACGGTACGATAATTAACCAAGTCTTAATTATAAAAAAGAATACATTCTGCTTTATCAAAACGAATATTTATTTGGTATATCACGATCGATCAAATAGAAATATATATTCAAAACTTCATTTAAAAATATTTACAAAACGACGAACACCAAAACAATGACATACCATGACAAACAATTGAATACGCTCAAAATATAATAAAGCAAACAATTAAAATAAGTCCGCCATTAAAAGCTCCACAACACTGTACTTGTTGGCTTACAGATTTGTTCGACAGCAGATGACTCAACTGCAACTTTGGAGAAAATTGATCATGATTGAAAAAGTGTGTGGATTATTGCATTTGATACCAAAATTTATGCTGATTAATTTTATGAGAGTGTCACGTCTTATTTGTTACCATTTAGAATTTCAACAGGTCGTGCCTTCGGTAGGAGATCATTGAAAGAACGAATCTTTTTCAGAGAACGCACGAACGGATGCGTTAGCAGTTTAGTTACCGGCCATCTGAAATCAGAAACGGCAATTAATTAATGGAATTTTTTAGAAATCCATATGTTGCCGCTCACTTCGGAATGATCACAAC